GTGTTTTTGTTTTAATTTTTCTCTAAGTATTTTCTAATTGTTGTTAAAACATTTAATTGATCTATTTGTTGTTTAAGAGTATGTTGCCTAATTTCTACAAATTTATAAATTTTCCAACCTTTCCTCTGTTACTGATTTTGACTTCATCTTGTTGTCATTGGAGAAGATACTTTGTATGATGTCAATCATTTTAAATCTGCTGAGACTTAGTTTGTGGTATAACATACGTTCTGTCCTGGAATATGTCTCATGTGCACTTAAGAAAAATATGTATGTTGTTCACTAGAAGAAAACGTAGGCAAAACCATCCAGGACATAGGCGTAGGCAATGACTTCATGACTAAAACACTAAAAGAAATGGCAATAAAAGCCAAGATAGACAAATAGGATCTAATTAAAATTCAGAGCTCCTGTACAGTGAAAGAAACCATCGTTAGAGTGAACCGGCCATCAACAGAATGGGAAAAAATTTTTGCAGTCTACCCATCTGATAAAGGGCTAATATCCAGAATCTACAAAGAACTAAAACAGATTTACAAGAAAATAAACAAACAACCACATTCAAAAGTGGGCAAAGGATATGGACAGACACTTTTCAAAAGAAGACATATATGAAGCCAACAAACATATGAAAAATGCTCATCATAACTGGTCATTAGAGAAATGCAAATCAAAACCATATTGTGATACCACCTTGAGATACCACCTCATGCCAGTTAGAATGGCAATCATTAAAAAAATCTGGAGACAACAGATGCTGGAGAGGATGTGGAGAAATAGGAACACTCTTACATAGTTGGTGGGAGTGTAAATTAGTTCAACCATTGTGGAAGACAGTGTGGCAATTTCTCAAGAATCTAGAAATAGAAATTCCATTTGACCCAGCAATCCTATTACTGGGTATATACCCAAAGAACTATAAATCATTCTACTATAAAGACACATGCACACATATGTTCATTGCAGCCCTGTTTACAATAGTAAAGACCTGGAACCAACCAAAGTGCCCATCAATGATAGACTGGACAAAGAAAATGTGGGACATATACACCATGGAATATTATGCAGCCATAAAAAACGAGTTCGTGTTCTTTATAGGGACTTGGATGAATCTGGAAACCATCATTCTCAGCAAACTGACACAAGAACAGAAAACCAAACACCACATGTTCTAACTCATAGGTGGATGTTGAACAATGAGAACACATGGACTCAGGGAGAGGAGCATCACACACTGGGGACAGTTTGACGGGGGGTACGGGAGGGACAGTGGAGGGTGGGAAGGGTGGGGAAGTTGGGGAGGGATAAGATGGGGAGAAATGATGGATATAGTGTGCACCTATGCAACAACCCTGCATGACCTGCACATGTACCCCAGAACCTAAAGTAAAACAAAAAAAAAAGAAAAATATGTATATTGTTATTAGAGTATTCTGTATATATGTTAGATGTAGTTGATTTATTACATTGTTTAAGTTCCCTGTTTCCTTCTATATCCTCTGTCTGGTCATTCTAACCATTATCAAGAGTGGGGTATTGAAGTCTCCAACTATTATTGTAGAATAGTCTATTTCTCCATTCAATTTTATCCAAAGTTTTTGTTTCATATATATCGATGATCTTCTATTAGGTGTGTAACAATTTATAATTGTTAATCTTGCTGTATTGAACCTTTTATTAGTATAAAATGTCTTTCATCTTTTTAAATCTTTTTTTAAAAATTAATAGTCTATTTATTCTCATAGTATAGCCATCCCTGCTCTCTTTTGGTTATTGTTTACCTATTACTCACTTCCAGTCTATTTTTATCTTTGCATCTTAAGTGAGTTTTTTGTAGACAACATGCAGTTGGTTCAATTTCTTAAATCCATTCTGCCAATCTCTGTCTTTTGACTGGAGAATTTAATCTATTTAAATTTAAAGTAATTACTGATCAGGAGAGACTCACTTCTGTCATTTTGCTATTTGTTTAACATGGTTTTCTACCTTGTTTTTTTGTCCCTCCTTTTCTGAATTACTGTCTTCTTTTGTGTTTAACTTTTTAGTAATGACATATTTATATTTCTTTCTCACTTCTTTTTCTGTGTAGATTTTTGGTGTGGTTACTATGGGGATTACATTTAAAATCTTAAAATTATAACAGTTTAATTTGAATTTATGCCAATTTAACTTCAATAACACACACATCTCGGCTCTTTCACAGCTTCATCCCCAACTCTTTTTGTTATTGACATCACAAAATTACATCCTTATTCATTGTGTACACTGTGTGCCCAAAACATAAACTAATAATTCTTTCTTTCTTTCTTTCTTTCTTTCTTTTTTTTGAGACAAGGTCTGGCTCTATCATCCAGACTGGAGTGCAGTGGCAAAATCTCAGCTCACTGAAACCCATGCCTCCTGGACTCAAGCTATCCTCCACTTCAGCCTTCTGAGTAGCTGGAACCCTAGGTGTGCACTGACATTCTCAGCTAATTTCTGTGTTTTTTGTAGAGACAGGGTTTTGCCATGTTTCCCGGGATGATTTCAAACTCATAAGCTCAAGTGATCCACCCACCTCAGCCTCTCAAAGTGCTAGGATTACAGGTGTAAGCCACCTCATTCTGGCCAATAATTCTTTTGAATACATTAATTTTTAAAATTTCATATAAAACAAAATGTGGAGTTACAAATCAAAATGTAAATATAATTTTTGTATAGTATTAGTCTCTTAAATAACGTAGAAAATTAAAAATGGAGTTACAAACCATTGTTATAATAATGCTAGCTTTTATGAGTGCCCATATGTTTACCTTTATTGAGATCTTTATTTCTTTGTACGGCTTCAACTTAGTGTCCAGTATCTTTTCATTTCACCCTACAAGACTCCTGTGAGCATTTCTTTCAGGGAAGGTCTAGAGTTAATGAACTTGCTCAGCTTTTGTTTATCTAGGAATGTCTTAATTTCTCCTTCACTTCTAAAGGATGATTTTACCAGAAGTAAAATTATCAGTTGACAGGTTGATTTTTTTTTTTTTCTCTCTCTCTTAGCATTTTGAATATACTGGCCCACCGCCTTCCTGCCTCCAAAGTTGCTGGTGAGAAATCTGCTGTTAATCTCACTGAGGATCCCTGATACCTGATGAGTCACTTCTGTCTTGCTGCTCTTAAATGTTCTCTTTGTCTTTCAAAAGACAAAGTATGGACCTCTTTTGGTTCATCTTACTTGGAGTTTTTAAGCTTGGATGTTTATATTCATATCATTAATCAAATTTGGGGAATTTTCAGCTACTTTTTCTTTGAATATTCTCTCTTCCCCTTCCTCTCACTCTTCTCCTTCTTGGATTTCCATAATGTGTATGGTCTATTAAATGGTTTCCTACAAGACCATTAGGATCTCTTTACTTTTTCTCAATCTTCTACTCTTCTGTTTCTCAGACTCCATAATTTCCATTTTCCTGTCTTTAAGTGTACTGATTCTTCAGCCTGCTTGAACCTGTCTTTGAATCCCTCTAGTAAATTTTTCATTCCAGAGTTTGTATTTTCAGCTTCATAAATGTTTCTTTTCGAGTGTTCTGTTTCTTTGTTGATATTTCCATTTTGTTTGTACATCATTTTCTTGACTTTCTCCACCTCTTTCTTTAGCATATTTAAGAGAATTGTTTTAAGATCTTCCATCAGGTCTTTCCCAGGAACACTCCTGTTGATTTATTTTCTTCCTTTGTATAGGCCATACTTTTCTGTTTCTTTATATGCCTTGTGACCTTTTGTTGGAAGCTGGACATTTGAATCTAAAAAATATGCTAACTCTAGAAATCAGATATTTCCTTTTTTAGGGTTTGCTGTTGTTGTTTTTAATACTTATATGCTACCTCTGTGCCCGGGATCAGCATAAAGTGTAAACTTGACATCACTGGTCTTTTCTTAGCCTATGTCTTTCCCTGGCCATGTACAGTCCCTTTCTAATTTTTCTTGTACGTACAGTTGCTGTTGAATATCTTAGTCTTTAATGTCTGGCTCTCAAAAGGGAAAAAATAAAGAAATTAAAGGAGGAAAGGTGGTGCTGACTCTTTAAATCCTCTGGAAATGACTTCAATTGATGAGGAAGGGGATTGCAACAATGAGGCAAGGTACAAAAACAATGGCTGCCCATTTCTGTGTTTGCATCTTTGTGGTTAGAAGCAGCAATCCGCATTCTGAGAACAGCTATCTGAACTGTGAAGAACAGGATGATTTTGCCCACCCAGGCCTTCACACACTGCATGCAAGCTGCTCCTGGAACAAGTGCTCAGCTGCTTGTCATGGAACTGGCAGTGGGAGATGGCTGGTTGCTGCTCTGCTAAGGGCTGAAATTGACCAAAATTAATGTCTAAGCCTTCCCCTGGAAATTGTAGGCCTTTAATAGGCTCCAGAGTTTCAAAATAGTTACATAAGACATAATCTTCCAATGAATTTGTTGTCTAAGTGGGGAGACAGATTTCTGGTGCTCCCTACTCTGCTATCCTTCCAGAATCCTCTAGGATAAATTACTTTTACATAGAAAATTATTTTTGGAAGCTTTGTCTACGTTACAATAAAAATAGAAACAAAACCTTGCATTTTTATTGTCTTCAAAGTACTTTATACATTTCTTTATTTTTCTCCCCTTCTTTCTTTCTTCCTATATTCTCTCCCTCCTCCCTTCTGTTCTTCCTTCAAAGCTAATTTAGTGCTTTTTCAGTTTGGGGAACTTTTACATTTGGTGAATTAACCATTTAATTCCTCCAACTCTGTCTACTCAGTCAGCCTTTGACCATTTTCCTGTTAACCCTTTCATTGCAAGAAAGTGGATGATGAGATTAATTGCTGAGTGAGGTTAGCTATTAACATTGCAGTCAGGTTTCCCATGTTCTCTCCAGCCTTTCTCCCTTTGAAGGAGGGGAGACACTGAGATAGATGAAAGTGGAGAATATTTTTGTGACCTCTAGGGAAGAGAAGAAAAGAAGGGATGTGGAAGAGAGAAGATATGATTAAGCCAATGTACATTGTTAAGAAATTTATTTGCAATTCTTTTTTGTGTGTGTTCATTTGTTAAACAACATCATTCCTTAGATAAAAAAGCAATCTTACAGGAATATGCAATAGTGTCTCACACAGAAATGACTCCAAAGCTCTCCTTGAAACGTTGTCCTTTTGGATTTCATGGCCTTTCTTAAGGGTAAGAAGACACCAATAAAAAGGCCTCTGAAAACAGGATCATTTGATCATTACTAACTCTACAGGAATATTTACAACAGTAAGACTGTGAAGTTGTGGAGTCTAGAGGGGAAGGGGCAGAGATGTGCAGGGATGAGGGGGATGGTGACAATGGAGGCACTGCCCATCTTAATGATGCAGATTGGTTTGGGGGCATGGAGGTGGGTCCGAACAGGAGGATATGAGAGGAGGGATGGCAGAATTTTATCTGAAGGCTTTCACATGGAGGGAAGCTTTGTATGGTAGCTCTGTTGTATTAAGATAAACACCAATTGTATGAGGATAATAGGCATTCTAGTGCTTCACCAACTGGGGGTCGGTCACATTATTTCCTAATGAGCTCATGTGTTTTTCCACAGGTTGTTTTCACCTGCTACCATGACAGACTGCTCCAGACCCGCTCATCCTTTTGTTTCCCACATCCTATTTCAGTGCAAGGCCTCATTTCCATGAGACTCTGGGAGAACAGCATGCATTCTGGGCAGGGTGGGACACAGTGACGGGGTGGAGGGTGGTCTGGCTGCGAAGTCAGGAGATGGATTCCAGGTTTGAAGATGGACTGCAGCTGGATGCATTGATGGTGTAAGGCCAGAAAGTAGAAGATGTTCACTGTGTTTGAGTCACAGGGGATGCCTGCTGAAGGAGCCCTCTGCACAGGACTGTGTTTACCAATCATCTGCCCTTGATCCTCAAGTTTGTTCCCCCAAGCTAGACACTTTTAAACACTGGTGTAGTTTCTCCATGTTGGGAAGTCTTCTCCTGGCTAAGGGCTCGGGAGGATTTCCTCAAGGGGGCCTGAAACCTGTACTCTCTAGTTCCTTGGCAAGCAAACAAGAGCTTAGCCTAGTGCCTGGTTGCCTCTTTTTTCTTTCCCCCTTGGTAATAAATTTGAGGGATCTAAAAATGCCAGAACAAGAATTCTCCAGGCTCAGTAAATAAGAACCATTCTGTCAATTTCTGCATTTTCCCATATAGAAATTATACTCTCTTAACATCTACAACCTCTTCCACTCAGAGCTTTCTCTGGTAATGACCTTGGTTGAAGGAGCACGAGTGATTTTTAGATGATTAATGTTTACTCAGTGTATGATTTATGCCAGAAGTGGCATAGTACCCTTTCTGGAAGGGCTACAGAGTCAAATTATTTACATTCTGAAAATTGGGGTGTATGAGAGAACCCACAAAGAGGGGTTCACCTATGAATCAGCCAGTATCTGATCTAAAAGCTCTGGTTACATAACATTCTGGTTACACATTTCGAGCTTTTGTTTAGCTACTTAGTTTTTGTCTTGTCTTCTTTATTGTTAGTAGAGACATAAGAGGATTTTCATGGAAAATCTCAGCTCTGACTCTACTCAGTGTTAAACTGATTTGTTATTCTTAGTATATTTATTCAGCTGCAATCCCTAGTGTCTTTCCAGAGACTAATTAAAAGGCTTTTCTAATATACCAGAAAGACCAAGGGTCTTTATCACCTCATGTGCCGTGACTCAAATTTCTTAAAATCATTTGAGAAGTTAATGATTTTAGGAGGAGGAGTATCTTCTCAGTATTTATTTCATAAAAATAATAGTTTTTGATGGCACTATTTCCACACAAGGAAGTCATTCTGGTTCTGTCTCCACGTCTGCCTACATAATGATCGCCCTTGGGAGAAGGAAAAGTCTCTTATGTGGAGCTCAACCCCAGCCCTTGAACCTTAAGGGTGTGCATGTTCTGGGGTGTTCCAGCATCTCCCCAACAATGGGAGATCTAGCAGAAATCCATTTACCTGGTATAATGCTAACTGACTCCACAAAGCAACATTTCATTGCTTTGAAATAAAAAATTAATTAATTAAGATAAAACCGTAAGTGGCTTAACACAAAGAAACTGTGTAAGCATCTATAAATACAGGTTAATTTTTGAATTATACATAATATATTAAACCACTGTTTTTAGTTTCATTAACTTTATACTCCCCACAATATTAAGTAAGAGAATTACTGACTCGACTACTCACTACCTGTTCTCTTTTTTCGCTTCTTCATGTCTGTCTGCTATGCCATTATCTCTACCCTCGTGTGGGTAGTACAAGTGCTCAGAATAAGAACTGACTCCCAGGCTTCATGTATGCCAACAACAGAGATCACGAGGGATCCCAAAGCACTCCCAATACTCACTTTCACTGACCTGTTTTCCCCCACTAAGAAGTGTCTAAGGAGAACCCTACGCTTTCAGAGTAAAATTCCATCTCCTCCATGAGGGCATAAAAGTGAGGCCAAGGTACTAAGTCGACATCCATGTCTCTCTGAGCCTGTGATGCTCCATTGAGGGAGTTCAAGTGGATAAATTGTGCACAAAGTAAGACTCAGCTTCCTCAGATCACCTCAAATCTATCAAAGGGGATGATGAATGGGCCTCAGGAGTTTGAGTTAGTTTTTGCTTATTCAGTTTTCCTCCATGACAAGGGGTCACCAGGGAGCCCAGTCACCGCTTCCCCAATTTTGACACTCATGGTCTCACCAACACTATCTGCCTTGAATCCATAAGAACTGACCTCATTATGTCCTCTGCCCCCATTTATGTCAGTCACCTAAATAACCACAGAATTCCAAGCTATCTCTCATTCCCCTTCTTCTAATTTCCATAAGTCTAACCTCTGTATACCTCCTATTCTATACTTTTTATCTCAGATTCCAGTTCATAAATGAGCATTCTCTTCACTGTTACACACTCAGCAAAATCTGATTCCCCTGAAACCTGCTCATGCAGTGGCTGTTAACTTTTTCTTGCTGCCCTATGAATATAGGTAAGTCCTTTCTCCTCATTTTAGTTTCCAGACCATTCTCCTCACTTCCTCCCAGCACAAAGAAAATGGCTCCAAATTTTATGTCATCAAATCTTAATACAATACCTCACTGCTGCAGTCATACCTACATCAAAGTTAAACTCCCCCTTTCCAATGATTTTAATTCCTCTCTCTTGTTTCAAGGTCAGTCTTAGCTTGAACCATGGTTGTTTTTAATATGCCCAGAGATGAAGTCTCAAACTTCATGAAACTGAAACTGAAATTTTCATTCTTCCCTCTAAACCTGTTCCAAACAGTCTTTCTCATCTCAGTTAAACACATAGGTTCGGTCCTAGCCTTTCTATTAGCTCCCAGTGAGATTACACATGCAAGTATCCACAGCCCTGTGAAAATGCTCTCTGATTATCAGAACATGAGGAGCAATTATCAAGCACGCATATGCAGCTCAAAACACTTTGCTTAGCCACGCCGGCTTTCTTGTTTCATATGACGCATCCAATCATTTGGGAAATCATATTAACCTGTAAAGCATCTATACAAAGTCTTTCAATTAACTGGCCTGCTTTCTGTCCAGCTACCAACACACACTCTGAACTGGCAACTGTTTCATACCTCCATTCCAGTCTCCTTCTAGGCGCATTCTGTATTCCAGCTTCCTCCATTCTGTTCTATCCCTGCAGACACTCTCATTCCATTTACAGTACACATAAATAACCATAGCATATTAACACCCACTTCTCCCACCCTTCCTTACTCCAGTCTCTTCATCCAATAGGGATTTATGTCATTCTTATATATTGACGGTCATTTCAGCAGGAGGGAGAATAAAGAGTAGACAAACAGAAATTTGTCTGTTCATTCTACTCTCTTTTACCAGAAGCCCTATATTAATCAGCAAGTCTTCTACATCTAAAATCCTTCAATTTTTAATTTTATCCATAATTTACAAAATAATAATATGAGTAGATTTAGCTTTCAATATTTATCTTAGCCTTTATTAACCTCGGTTTCATAACAGAAGCTGCTTTTTTGAAGTTTTATTGTCTAAGATTATTTTTGGAAAATTAATGTTTGTGTTCTACCTTAGGACACAATGGGTGGAAGAAACATTGGTCTAAAGAGTCCTGAATCTGAGAAAGTGGTTCTTTGACAATATCTGACATTACAAATGGCCTTTAAGAGCTGGAGTTTTTATAATACTGGCCTTTCATCCTTTGATTCAGACACTTGTTTTTAAGAAAGATTTTAGTCCCCAGGTTTGAATTGCTGAAAAAAATCCAACAATCTTTGCCTCATGATTTTTAATAACCTGATTAAGTTTGTCAGTATTCTGTACAAATTGAGCAAATGTATAACATGAGTAATAAAGAAGAGAAAAAAATTGAAAGCAGGAGGGTATATTTATGAGTAATCTATCATATGAGTCATGTCTAGAATGAATGAGAAGAGTTAAAGAACAATTTCTAAATAGAATAAGAAGATCTAGGCTTCTCTCAAATGGAAGTGATAAACTTGAATAAAATAGTTAAATCTTGACATAAGCAGAACAAGAATTTAAGCATCTGAATAATTCCAATATCAAGGCAGAGATTCAATGGAATTAAACAGGCTTTCATAACAGAAAATTTTTAGAACTATTTGGAAAAGATGTAGGAAGTACACCCTTACTTTGCATGAATTAAAGAAATTGCTGTTTCAACATAAAAATAAAGCTGGCTGTAAGGATCTTCTTTAGGGAGTTGTTATAGATGTTCCTCCTAAGAAAACTCGTGTCATTGATACCTTAGAAATATCATTAGTGAATATGTTATTATTTTGAGTTAAGACATTTTTTTGAGGTTCTTAAAGACAAGAAAAAGTTATCTATAGTACCTCTACTAATTTTTGAAACAATTAAGTTGTATAGCATGTTCTCCAATTCTGAAAAAAGTAATATAATAGGGCAATTACAATTTAGTTTTCAATTCATCGTCATTCAAAATCATGGACTTTTGGTATATATCTTTGCACTCATTTTCCTTTCCTTTGACTTTTGTCTCTATAAGCTCAGTTCCTGAAGAGACATTTTTACCAGGTAGATGACACTTCCTCAAAAGAATAAGGATGATTAATCCTGGAATAAAGCTTGATCCTCTTAGTGCTGCCGGCAATCCAAGGTAGATGTATCTATTTTTTAAAAGTTAAAACATATTAAATATTACATAGGCAGTGTGGTTAGTGCAAAGTAACTTTGTATATCTTTATATTTTACTCTGAAAATAAAAGCAGCTGATTGTTTTGTATGTTGATCTTATATAAGCGGGTTTGCTAAATTCTCTTATTAATTTCAATATTTATTAAAATGTTTTTTTTTCTAAATTTCTCATTGAGAAAATCCAAATTTATTTTCGCCTTTCCTAATGTTTTGTTATTGTTGTTATTACTATTTTTCCATTGAATAGGATCTTCACCTTAAAATTAATACTGATAGTGATAGCAGTTTTATTTTAGTATTTAATAAGAATGCTTCCAAAGAATGATCATGAATTATAATAGATACTTTTGTGAGAGTTTCTTTAGATGATCTTGATCAGATTAAAGAAGTTCTTTGCCATTATGAGAGTGCTCAAAGTTTGAGTCATGAATGTGAATAATGTCACCAAATAACTTTTCTGCTTGTAGCTGGAAGAGTATCCAAGGTTTTTCTACCTTTATTGTGTTTATAGCATCTATTACTCCAATAGTTTTTCTGACGTTGAATTATCCTTACATGCTTAAAATAAACCCTATTTGTAATTTTTATACATTATTAGATTCAATTTGTCAATTTTTATGTAGAATTTTTTTCATGTGTAAGATTAGCCTACAAATTTTTGTTTTGTACTGAACTTGTTCAGTGTGATTATTAAGATTGTACTAGCTTTGTGAAATGAATTACCAAGTATTCCCTTTTTCTGATTCTCACAATAACTTGTATAATTTAGGAATCATCAGTTCATTGTAGGTTTTATCAGACTTTCCTGAAAAACATCTGAACTTGGTGCCTTTGGAGGCTGAGCATTTTCGACAGATTTACATTTTTAAGTAACTATAAAAATATTTATGTTTCTATAGATTTATAATAAAATCTGGTAATATATGATTGTCTAGAAAATTATCTATTTAATATGTTTCTAAATTGTTATATCTAAAATCCCTATGTAAGTATTATAATATCTGTACTTATATTACCTTTTTCATCCTCAATGATGTTTTATTCATGCCTTTTCTCTTTATTTGCCTTTCCACAGTATTGTTGTTAGTAATATCTTTTCGCCTTTACAAAAACATAGCTCTTTACTTTCTGACTCCATGGCGTGTTGTCTATTTATTAATTTCTGCTTCTTATTTTTATCTTTCTACTTCTAAAATTTTCTTTTATGAAACATTACTAGAATTCAGAAAAAAAAATGAACACCAGTGACTGAATTTAAGGTCTACTGTAATCCATTATAACCTTATTTTAACTTAACTGGTTCCATTTGTAAATGCTCTATTTCCAAATAAGGTCACATTGTGAAGTTCTGAGTGAATATTAAATTTTGAGAAACACTAAACCCTGTAACAGGTGTTTTACCTCATCAATTGGATTAAAGCATTGAATCTGGATTTAGTCTCTTGACTTAGAGGTACCTTATTCTCCCTTTGGAAGGTGATATCAGAAACCACTGTCCATTTCTTCTTGGAATTTTATAAATTTTTGTTTTGTATATTTGAAGTTATGTTGATAGATTTACATAGGTTCATAATTTTTCTATATTCTTTGAAGTGTTTTCCTTTTTTTTTTTTTTTTCCTGAGACGGAGTTTTGCTCGTTACCCAGGCTGGAGTGCAATGGCGCGATCTCGGCTCACCACAACCTCCGCCTCCTGGGTTCAGGCAATTCTCCTGCCTCAGCCTCCTGAGTAGCTGGGATTACAGGCACGCACCACCATGCCCAGCTAATGTTTTGTATTTTTAGTAGAGACGGGGTTTCACCATGTTGACGAGGATAGTCTCGATCTCTCGACCTCGTGATCCACCCTCCTCAGCCTCCCAAAGTGCTGGGATTACAGGCGTGAGCCACCGCGCCCGGCCATGTTTTCCTTTTATTATTAAGTAATATCCCTGTTTAACTCCATTAGTTTTTTTCCCTTTAACTTATAGTTTGTTTAAATCATTAATATAACTGCAGAAGTTGATTTAGTACGTTTCTGGTAAATCTTTTAAAAACTTTTCTCCAATCATTTTATATCTTTGATCTGTCTCTTATAAACAACATGTAGTTCAAATTTTGAAAAGTCCGATGTAAAAATTACTAACTTTTAACAAACAAGTTTAACCAATTTGCAAAACCACTTAGGCTTATTTTTTAACTTATGTGGAGTTTTTTTTCTCATGCATTACCACTACTGCATCTTCTTCCCTTCTACTGGTTGGAATAAATCTAGTTAATCATCCTCACATTTTTCGTAAAATTTAAAGGTAATCAATAGTTTGTTCTCAAGAATTATAAAACAATCTGAGATTTTACTTCCTTTGTAAGCTAACAGGCTAGACTGCCACAGTTTCCTGGATGCTAACAGAAGATACAGGACCCATAGGTCAGGGACAAAGGACTTTTTTTAGTCACAACACAGCAGTCAGCACAAGCTTCATGTTCAGGCTGGTTTTCCTTACCCCCCCAAGTCCTAAAGACAGAGCAAGAACCAGGTAAACGTTGTACACACAGTGGATTTGGGCCACAGTTAGGAAGTCCTGAGTTTAGAAAGTCCCATCTTTTAAATGGGCTTCAAAAAAATCTGCCCAAACTTTGCCCCAAAGGGAGACATTTTCTTATCATCATGAACAGCAAACTACCTGCCCTCTGTCCTTCTGAGAGACACTATATCTTCCAAGGTCATTTATGGTTCCAACGTCCTTGAAAATATAGTCCAGAAAAAAAAAGCTCTCAGTACCCCTGCTAACAAGAAAAGCAGAGATGTGGGGGTCCATAGAGAATTGTCTACCAACAATATTTCCCCTTTATTTATAGAATATTTACCTTCTGGTAGATTTTCTCATGAATACACCACTTCATCGACCATTCTAATTGGTCTAACTGACAGAGAATGGAACCAAGTCTGTTTAGTGTCTCCAGCACCATTTAATTCAGAATCCAAGCAGCAGAACCAGGCCAACCCTCAATAGTGACCCTTAGGGTTCCTCAACTGTTGTAGAAATCCACTGCATACACAACATGTAGCTGAGCTTGCCTCCACATCACTCCTGGGGAGCTCCGGGGAAAAGGGGGATAGATGCAAGGATGTCTGCTCTTCCCATACCTCCTGACACATGTCCTTTTGCTGATCAAGACAAAGATCTTAGAATGCTTTAAGCAATGCTAAATTGTTTTAAGAATAAAGTAGCTTTATTATTGCCCCATCAAGAGAAGCTAATTCATATTTAAACAAAACTCAAATTTCCTAATGAAAGAGTACATGAAAATAGAAATAACGAAAAGTTTTATTCAAAATTCGATTTGTATTTACCGAAGGAAAAAAAAAAAAGGCATTAGGAGACATGAAGATGATTGCTTCAGCAAAATTTAAAGAGGGAGAAAAATATGATTTTGGAGACCAGAGACTGGTGGTGAGAGGAAGTGAGGCTTCAGACCCATAAAATCATGCAGGATAAAACAAAGAGGCTATAGAAAGTAATATAATTTGGATAGGTATCGGCGTACCACCATTACCTTCAATATTGTGTTGATTGTTCAGAAATTAACAAACAACTTTTGAAAGCCACGGTTAGGGAAAACATGTGTGCTTATATTGACCAAGCACGTGAGAAATAATGAGAAAACAGAATTCTAGTATGCAAATACGGAATGGAGATGCAACATCAGTATCTCTTCTGGAAATAAATATAAAAGTGTTCTTTTCACTTGACAAAGAAAAAGTTAGATATGCTTGGGTCTGCATTATGCACAGCCTATGCTTATAAAACAATTTTAAACAAATTATTATCTTTACCTGAAGGTGGCAGAATCATATATTCTGCATGCCCCTGACTCACCACATTTCAAAGTTCCCCAATGTAAACATGTGGAGTCCATTAAAACACCAAAATATATAGGTGCAGGAATGCCAGCTACAATTAACAGAGAAAGAAAAATCTATCAACAGGAATTAAGCTACTTGATTTACTTGGAAATATTTCAGTTTTCTTTATTTGCACTGCAAAGTTTAATAAAACATAAATCTAATGGTCTAATGAGTTACTTTTACTGTAAAATTTCCAAATTACTAAAAGATAAGTTATACTATGGTTAAAATGCAACATAATCATTAGTAGAGTAAAACATTGAATTAAAGATTCTGAGCTTCATATGTTTTCTTAAATGTTTTGGGCCAATTATATGTACATTTTATTTTGGCAGAGCATTTTCTTTCATTTTATTTTCAAATCTTCAAACAGAAAAATAGTGTAATTAAGGTCAGATAGGGCCTTTTCAAGTAAAAGAAATTCTCTCTGTGTGTACTTCATTCTCATAATATTTATAACATGCTTTTTGCAAACAGAAGGGACATTTGCTAGACTGTTTTTCTGAAATAATTATCTCATTTACTTAGTATTTAATATTGGTCTGATAGAACATTGCAAAAACAAAACAAAAAAAAAACTATTTTTACCAAATACTCTTGTGCAAAATGTATGCAATCCCACACCGAGGGACTTCTCTTCAGATTTGATACACCTGAAAAGTAAATAAGTTTGTAACTAAAAGAAAAATAAAGGTTTAAAATTACCATAATGTCTCAAATGGGCCGGTTGTAAGCTAGTCACACATAATAAACATTCAAAATTTTACTTTCATGCTCACTTATTGGTTATGCAGGGCTTTATTATCTAGCTGGTAGCCTACACAGAAGCCCATTTCTGGTCAGTAGCACTTTATCCATCACTTTTTCTTATTAATTAATACCTGGTTTAGTGGCCGAGCACGGTGGCTCACGCCTGTAATCCCAGCACTTTGGGAAGCCAAAGCGGATGGATCACCTGAGGTCAGGAGTTCGAGACCAGCCTGGTCAGCATGCAGTGGTGGGCACCTGTAATCCTAGCTACCTGGGAGGCTGAGGTAGGAGAATCGCTTGAACCTGGGAGGCAGAGGATGCAGTGAGCAGAGTGTGCCACTGTACTCCAGCCTGAGTGACAGAGCTAGATTCCATCTTTAAAAAAATATTTTATTTGTAATAACACAGAAACTAGATGACAACTATACACTAAAAATCCGCACTAAGAATAATACTTAATAAATAAATTTTATACAGTTCTTATTAAGATTAAAAAAGAAGAAGAATACTCACTATCACAACCATAGTTAAAAAATTACTTGGAGGTTATAATTTATGCTAAAAGGAAATTTTAGAAGTCTAAGATGTGTAAGATTTGGAAGTGAAAAGACAAAACTTGTCATATTTGCACACTGAAAAACCTACATAGAAAACCTAACAAAATCAACAAATTATTGGAACAAATAAGAAAGGAGCTGGATAAAAGGTAAATCTTAAAAGACAGCAGCATTCCTCTAAACAGCAATAACCAACTAGAAAACATAAGAGAAAATGGTACCACAGGTATACATATATGCCTGTCTATACTTATGTGTAGAGATGATAAGGGTAGAGATGGGGATACACACACACACACACACACACACACACACACACACACACACACAGACCTATCTGTCCAAAATAGTGTAAGATTTTATAAGGGAGGGATGGAGCAAGAAGGCTAAATAGAAGGCTCCACCAATCAACCCTCCTGAAGGAACACCAAATTTAACAACTATCTATACACAAACACAAAAAACACAGATGTGAGAACGAAAAATCACGTAAGCACTCACAATACCTGGTTTTAACTTCACATCACAGAATGAGGCACTAAAGAGGGTGGGAAAAACAGTCTTGAATCACCAGCGCCAGCCCTCCCATTCTCCAGCAGTAACCACATGGCATGGAGAGAGAGTCTGTGCACTTGGGAGAGGGAGAATGCAGTGATTCAGAGACTGCATTGAACCCCGTGCTGCCCTACCACAACGAAAAGCAAAACTAAGCTAAACTCAGCTGATTCTTGCCCATGAGAGCATTTAGACTAGTCATAGCCAGAAAGTAATCACGCGGCCCCACAGTTAGAACTTGAGCTCCAGCAAGCCTCGCCAGCATGGGCAAACGTGTTCTCCATAAATAAATTTGAAAGGCAGTCTAGGCTGCAAGGACTACAACTCCCAGACAAGTCCTAGTGCTGAGCTGGGCTCAGAGCCAGTGGACTTGGGGTCACATCACCAACTGAGACACCAGCCAGGGCAGCTAAGGAAGTGCTCGTCCCACCCTTCACACAACCGCAGGCAGCACAGCTTGTGGCTCCAAAAGAGAACCCTTCCTTTCACTTGAGGAGAGGAGAGGAACGGGTAAAGAAGACTTTGTCTGCATCTGTGATACCAGCTTGCCCACAGTAGGATAGGGCACTGGTAAGGGTCAGGAGGTGCCCATTCCAGGCCCTAGCTCCTGGGTGGCATTTCTACACATACCCTGGACCAGAAGGGAACCTAATGTCTTGAAGAGGACTCGGTACTGGCAGGATACATCACCTGCTGGCTAACGAGCCTTTGGGGTCTGAATAACCAACAGCTATACTCAGGTAGCATGTCATGGGCCCTGGGTGAGACTCAGGTGTGCTGGCTTTAGATGAGACTCAGTACATTCACAGCTGTGGTGGCTGTGGGGAGAGACTTTCTGTTTGAGAAAAGCACAGGCACAGGGAGCAAAGGGAATTTTGTTGTGCATCTTAGATAACAGCTCAGCCACAGTGGGGTAGAGCAGCAGTCCCCAAACCTTTCGCATGAGGGACTGGTTTTGTGGAACACGATTTTTCCACTTACCAGGCAGGAGTCGGGGATGATTTTGAATGAAACTGTTTCACCTCAGATCATCAGGCATTAGATTCTCATAAGGAGTGTGCAACCTAGATCCCTCACATGTGCAGTTCACAATAGGGTTCACACTTGGATGAGAATCTAATGCTACAGCTGATCTGATAGGAGGCAGAGCTCGGGGGTAATGCTCACTGCTCCCTCCTGCTGTGAGGCCAGATTTCTACCAGGCCAGGGTCTAGTAATAGTCTTTGGCCCAATAAGTAGGGACCCTTGGGGTAGAGCACCAAGCACATTTTTACAGTCCCAGATTCTGGGCCTTGGGTCTTGGATGGCATTTCTGTACCTGCCCTTCTGGGCCAGAGGAGAGCCAACTGCACTGAAGGGTGAGTCCTAGGCCTGGCGGCATTCACACAGGCTGGCTGAAGAACTCTCGTGCCTTAAGTAAACATCAGTGGTAGCCTGACAGTACTCTCTATGGGCCTGTGGTGGTGGTGTCCATGGGGTGAGGCTCCTCTGTCTTTGGAAAGGGAAAGGAAGAGCAAAAAGGTGTTTCTTGTAGTCTGAGCGTCAGCTCAGCCACAGTAGAATAGAACACAAGGCAGATTTATGTGGTTTGTTTTTTTTTTTTCACCCATTGCAGGCTCCTGGTTGGCATCTCTGGACCTTCCTGGGGACTGGGAAAACTCACAGCTCTGAAAGGAAGGACAAAAACATGGCTGGATCACCACTGGCTGATTGTAATGTAGGGCCTTCAGCAAACATAGGTGGTAGCCAGGTAGAGGTGGGCCTTGGGTGAGACTAGTGCTGTGCTGGATTCCACTCTAACCCAGCACAGTCCCAGTGGTGGTGACCACAGGGGTGCTTGCATCACCCTACCCCCAGTTCCAGGCAGCTCAGCACCGAGAGGCTCCATTTGTTTGGGAGAAATTATGGCAAAAGAACAAGAATCTCTGCCTAGTAATCCAGAGAATTCTTTTGGCTTTATCCAAGACCTTCAAAATGGTAACTCTATGAGTCTATATGAACCACAGCATTATTGGGCTTGGGGTCCCAAGTCCGTTTGAATACCTGGAAAACCTGCTTAAGAAGGAGGGGCACAAACAAACCCAGACTATGAAGATTACAATAAATGCCTAACTCTTCAATGTTTAGACATCAGCAAATATTGACAAGCATAAAGAACATACAGGAAAACATGACCTCACCAAAGGAACTAAACAAGGCAGCAGGGACCAATTCTGGGGAAACAGAAACATGTGACCTTTCAGATGGAGGGTTCAAAATGGCTATTTTGAGGAAACTCAAAGAAATTCAAGATAATACAGAGAAAACATTCAGAACACTATCAGATGAATTTTACAAGGAGGTTGACATAAATAAAAATAAGCAGATATTCTACGGTTAAAAAATGCAGTGACATACTAAAGAATGCCTCAGAATCCCTTAATGGCAGAAGTTATCAAGCAGAAGAAAGATTTAGTGACCTTGAAGATAGGCTATTTGAAAATATATGGTAAGGGATGTAAAAGAAAAACAGAGTAAAAAGGAGTGAAGTGTACCTACAAGTCTACAAAATAGTCTCTAAAGGGCAAATCTAAGAGTTATTTGCCTTGAAGAAAAGGTAGAGAAAGAGGTAGGAGTAGAAAGATTATTCAAAGGGATAATAGCAGAGAGCTCCCCAAACCTGGAGAAATGGATCAATATCCAAGTGCAAGAAGGTTATAGAACACCAAGCAGATTTAACCCAAAGAAGATTACCTCAAGGCATTCAATAAACCCACCAAGGTCATGTATAAAGAAATAATTCTAAAAGCAGCAAGAGAAAAGAAATGACTAACATAAAATGGAGCTTCAATACAACTGGAGACTTTTCAGTGGAAACCTTAACAGACCAGGAGAGAGTGGCATGGCATATTTAAAGTGCTGAAAGAAAAAGCTTTTACCTTCATATCTGGTGAAAATATCCTCCAAACATAAAGAAGAAGTAAAGATTTTCCCAAACAAGCAAAAGCTGAGGGATTTCATCAACACCAGCCCATCCTATAAGAAATGCTAAAGGGAGTGCTTCAATCAGAAAGAAAAGGGTGTTGCTGAGCAATGAGAATTCATCTGAAGGTACAAAGGTTACAGGTAATAGTAAGGAAGCAGGAAAATGCTAAATATTGTAACACTGTAACTGTGTTGTATACTCTTAACTAGAAAGACTAAAAGATGAACCAATCAAATATAATAATAACTTTTCAAGACATACGCAGTACAATAAAATACAAATAGAAATAACAAAATCTTAAAAATCAGGGGGACAGAGTTTAAATGTAAAGGTTTTTTTTTTTAGTTTTCTTTTTGCTTGTTAGTTTCTTTATGCAAGCAGTGTTAAATTATTATCACCTAAAAATAATGGGTTATAAGATAGTATTTGCAAACCTCCTGGCAACCTCGAATCAAAAACACATACAATGAATACACAAAAAATTAAAACGCAAGAAATTAAAGTATATCACTACAGATAATCACCTTCACTGAAAGGAAAATAGGAATTTAAAAAGAAGGAAGAGAAAACCAGAAAACAAATAACAAAATGGCAGAAGAAGTCATTTTTTTTATGAATAAGAATATTTAATGTAAATAGACTAAACTAATAAAATGACATAAAGTAGCTGAATGGATTTAAAAAAAAAACAAGATCCAATTATCTGTTGTCTACAAGAAACACATGTCACTCATAAAGACAGAGACACAGAAAATAAAGGAATGAAAAAGATATTCCATGCCAACAGAAACCAAAATAAGCAGGGGTAGCTATACTTACATCAGAC